CTGTTACGTAAGCAAAGAAATAATTATCGTAATACATTTGCATTTCTGTATTAACTAATATTTATGAAAAAAAAGGCGACGAAAAACGTTTTGTCACAGTTACATATTGTTATACATACCAGGTTACATCAGTGACCCTACTGACCGACTGTGCGATGTTAACATAAATCTATAAAAAAAGTTATAAAATAATATTTGACACGTTTTATTGTAAATGAAATTGATTGTAACTAAGCCTTTATTCTGTTATGACAATAATTACAATTTTTTCTTGATTTTACTAAATTATTCAGAGATGTTATAATTTAAACATAACTTAAACTTAGCGCGATTCTGCCAGTCTGCAGACTGCCAGACTCCATGTAATCTCACCCTAAGCCCTTAAGCGAGACGGTTCGAGATTTATCGTCACACCACCAACTTTCCGACGAAAACGTAACAGAAAGTTAACTTTTTGAAATCTCGAAAGATGTTGCGTATATCGAAGAACTCAATCAGACGGACACAAAACCTATACACATAAGTACAAGCGAGTGCTTAGAGTAACTCTGAAATTAGTTGTCTACCAACAGTTTGTAGCAATAATTTTTAAAACTTGTCTCCAGTGTTTGGTGGTTTGTGTAAAAATAAGTTCAACAAACTCAGTTACAAATTACAAATCTCCAAATTTATCTCGCCTTACTTATCGTCACCAATCACTAATATCACCATGCACTGTTGATGTCATCGATTCATCGATGTTCGTGATAATTTGATTGCGTTTATTTCTGTGTTAGGTACTGACGTTACTGTTGACCGGTCATCCGAACATCAGAGGAGCGGTGAGGGTACAGGGGAGTAACGGGATCGTGTAAATATACTAGCTATACTATAATGCAGTCGCACCACTACTGCTACGAGTACTAAAAACAACGTAACCTCTGACCACTTTATTAGCGAGTGTGCCCTGTTAGGTATTATCATCACATCGTAAGAAAGCGCAAGAGAAATGGAGGATCTACTGCTGCCTCCTGGCATGGAGCATCATTCATTCGTCCATCAGTTGAACAACGGGCACAACTCGTACTCCCAGCAGCAATTCTCTGATGACGATGATGGCGACGATGACGACAGCGAGTACCCAAAGTCTGTCAACAGGTCGGATAAAAATTCTAGGCCGAAGAAGAAGAAAAAGAAGAAGAAGAAGAAAAGACAGCAACAACCCGATGCAGCCCAGGAAAGAAAAAAAAAGAACGATGCCCTGGCGGCGGCCTCGGCCGACCGCGGGCCCGAGATCGAGTACGTCCAGGAGATTCCGACCGTCAACGAGCTCGAGCCCATGTACCGGCAGTTCGCCAAGGTTTTTGAGGCCTTCAAGATCGTTGAGCCCGAGAAGCCCATCGACGGTGAGGCCATCAGTCAGTACCCTCCCAACTCCGGTGCTGCTGCAGCAGCAGCTGCTGCAGCCGTAGCCATGAAGCTCGGTGCCCTCAGCGACGAGTACGAGGAAGACGCCCAGCAGCAGCTCCAATTGCAGCAGCAGCAAGCCGGTGGAGACGGAGATTCCCAGAAGCTCTCCAAACGCAAGCTCAAGAAGCTCACGAGGCTGAGCGTGGCCGAGCTCAAGCAGCTCGTCGCCCGACCCGACGTCGTCGAGATGCACGACGTTACGGCCCGTGATCCCAAGCTTCTAGTACAGCTCAAAGCCCACCGGAACACAGTGCCCGTGCCCAGGCACTGGTGCTTCAAGCGCAAGTACCTCCAGGGCAAGCGAGGTATTGAGAAGCCGCCCTTCGACTTGCCGGCTTTCATCAAGCGCACTGGCATCACCGAGATGCGCGCCAGTCTCCAGGAGAAGGATGAGTCCAAGACCCTCAAGGCCAAGATGAGGGAACGAGCTAGGCCCAAGCTCGGCAAGATCGACATCGATTACCAGAAGCTTCACGATGCGTTCTTCAAGTGGCAGACTAAGCCGCGAATGTCCATTCATGGGGATCTCTACTACGAGGGCAAGGAGTTTGAGACGCGTCTCAAGGAGAAGAAGCCTGGTGAACTGACGGATGAACTGCGCACGGCCCTAGGCATGCCGATTGGCCCGAATTGTCAGAAGGTGCCTCCCCCGTGGCTCATTGCCATGCAGCGTTACGGGCCACCCCCGAGCTACCCCAACTTGAAGATCCCAGGGCTCAACGCGCCCATACCTGAGGGTTGTGCTTTTGGTTATCATGCTGGTGGCTGGGGTAAGCCACCTGTGGATGAGACTGGTCGACCCTTGTACGGCGATGTCTTTGGCATGTCCAGAGCCCCTGGCGAAGACAACATGGATGAAGACATTGATAGAGGAATGTGGGGAGAACCAGAGTCTGAGTCATCGGGAGAAGAGGAGGAAGAAGAGGAAGACGAGGACAAAGCCGAAGAAGGTAACAATTATAATTGTCGTCGTTGTGTTTTAGTGATTTTCTTTTTCCAAGCTTCGAATGATCATAATAATCTCGGGAATATTTTGTTTTTCAGGGAAAGAAGATGCAACTGGATTGGTTACACCTGGAGCAGAGGGTCTTATTACTCCGAGTGGTATCACTTCTATACCTGCTGGTCTGGAAACGCCAGAAACAATTGAGTTGAGAAAGAAAAAGATTGAAAGTGAGATGGAAGGCGGCGATACTCCGGCTTTGTACACAGTGCTGCAAGAGCGCAGAACCGAGGGATTGGGCTCTAGTATGATGGGTAGCACTCACGTGTACGATATGACCGGCGCAGGAGGTCAAGCACCGCCAGTGGTCATTGCTGCTCGGCGAGGTACTGTATCAACCTCTGAAGTTAGGGCGACGGAAAGGGAAGGAGCTGTCGAGTTGGCTCTTGATCCGAGTGAATTGGATTTGGACTCAGAAGCCATGGCAACCCGCTACGAGGAAACTATGCGCAACAGGCAGGCTTTGCGACGAGAAGATCTGTCTGATATGTTGCAGGATCATGTACAGCGACAAAAGGTAATACATTATTTTTTTAATTGTGTAGACCACAGTATATGTTAGTTTTTAACGCTTTGCTAATTTTGTATTTTTTTTATTTACTTTTCAGAGCAAAAGAAAACGTCAACAGAACCAGGATAGTAAATCATCCAAAAAATATAAAGAGTTTAAATTTTAAACATTTTTATTTTCTAATTTTTGTATATATTTGATGATAACTAGATTTAAGACTACAATAAAATATACAAATTACAATCGCGTATTCTGTGTATAACCATTGACCTTATGTTGCATAGTTACAAAAAATAACTTAATTCCATCAAAATTATTTTCTGTTCGATATTGATGTGTTTTTTTTTTTTTGTATAAATGATTTCGTACTTGAATTGAGTCTTTCTACAATATTGAGTAAGAAACTTTTTTTGAGTTATCAGCAAAACAGTTCAAAAATATTGTATCTCACTATAACTTTTTGAATAAAATTAATATACAATTTTAAAAAATTCTCTCTGAAAAATTCTTTTGCACTCAATTTCGAATTATAACCTTTTTTGTTTCCTTAGGTAATAGAAATCTTGTTTTCGTTTTTTAGTTTAGATTACAGTGAAATAAAAGTTCAAAATGAAATGTTGGGTAAAAATTTATTTAATTACAAATTTTCCATTTCATCATTCTAAGGCGAAACAATTCGTCGAAAAGTTTTTACATCGTAAATTAAAAGTATTCCTAAGTATGCGGATGGATGTTAAGGAAATAGTGAAGGAATAATCACAATCGTCATTCCCATTTATGTTTAGTTTATTTATTAATTGTTGCGACGGAAGTCATCAAACTTGAAAATTTAATAAAAATATTCACAATGAGCATTCTATCTTGTTCTTTCGCGCTCAATCCTCGCTTAACCGCAGTCGCGCGCATTTTTATTAAATACGGATCAGCGAGCTTGACAATACAATTCATTCAAAAATCGTTATTTTTAATTTCATTGATTCTCCTTTTTATACGTTTCACTTGGAGATACAACTCGCAATGTCATTTTGTTCCGAGTAGTCATTTCTAGCGTTCACTATACGGACGTTTCGACATCGCCAAAGTTCGTGCTACTTCGATTTCATTTTTTTTTTTTTTTGTTTTTTGTTTTTTAATCATTACTATGTATGCATGTATGTATATCGCTTTGTACAGAACCTGACTCTTACTCAAAACAGTTACAGGAGTAACCGGTGCACATCCGCGGTTATAAAAAAAAACATTTTTACATTTGAGGTATATTTTTTTCTCTCGCATTAAACAAAAAAAATAATCATTATAACCGCCTGTTGGACAATTTTTATAAATACTTAAACAAAACACTACACTAAGACGATTTGCTCACTATATTTAGTAAACAAACTTTTACGCATGTGCACATGCGTAAATTAATTTATTTAGATTTTATCACACACACAGCGAAAAAAAATTAAATTTTTACAAATCAATGAGAGTCACTTGAAAATTGTATACTTAATAGTAATAATGATGACGTATAAAATAATGAATAAACTTGAGAAGTAGAAATCGAGTTGATGAAAAAAACAATCAAGCTGCTCCTGTGCCAACGATTTCGAGTAGATCAGCCGGGCCCTGCTGCTGTTATTATTATTACACTTAAAAAAATTTTTTTTTTTACGTATGTATGCGTGCCCGAGGCTGAGTTTTTGTATGCTTGTGTGCCGTGTATCGCTTGGATGCATATTTACATTTAATTAATAATAATTATTATTAATAATAACAACAATGTTTAATTGATACGAATAGAAAATCATGATTCACCACGAATGACTCAATTTATCGTTTTTTTTTTTTTTTTTTTTTTTTTTTTTTTTTTTTTTTTTTTTTTTTTTTTTTTTTTNTTTTTTAAAAAAAGGGTATGCTTTTCAGACGTTTTGACTCACCGGCAAGTAAAAACTTCTATAATTTAGGGAGTACAAATTGAAAAAGTTTATCATTGGTTTAAGCTCTTCAAAAGGCAAGTGACATTTATAAAATAATACATATATGTCAAAATAAACACATGAACGCATTTCATTGTGCACATAAATATGATACATGGTTTTTTTTTTGACTAGTAATATAACTTACTAAAGTGGAATCATGAATAAAAAGTTATTTTATCAAATCTGATTATATTTTTAATTTCTTTTCTGTATATACATCAAGTTTATAAGCATAGCATCACTGGCGTTCAGATTATTCAACACTGTATGAATAAAAATAGATTTATGTACAAATGAACGCAGTGATACAATTATTGTAGAATACATTGTTCTTATTAAAAAAAAATTTACATTTTTTTTACAACAAGTAATCGTTCCAGTTATCAAATTCAAAAGAACCATCTTCTTTCATCAGAAGTCACTTGCCTTTAAAGTCTCCAAGTAAACTTATGTCTTTGTGTCTTTCTTAGCATTAGTCTCACAGAACATAAGAGCTAAATTAATTACACTTTACTTTTTTCTTCTTTATTAGACTTATCACTAGGTTCTTCCTTTATTTCAGGAAGTTTGGTTTTTGTTTTCTTTGCTACCTCTTCTAGAGAACTTTTCAGGTATTTTATTTGAGCCTCTTGCTTATTAGTTGTTTCATACAGCACTTGTATGTCATCTGTGAATTTTTGCAACTGCATCTTCCTCAATTCTTCTTTTTTGGCTTCTTTGGCCACTTGCCGATTGTACTCTAGCACTATGCATCCTCCGGCTAAACTAAATATGATAACTTCACCCATTAGACTGGCACCAAGTTCAATAGCCATTTGTTCATTGAGCTTAGCAACTTTTGTTGGTTTTCCCAAATTCATAATATACATTTTTGCCTTGACTTCTGCCCAATGGTAAACTATAAGTATATAACAAATAAGGAATTTTTTATTTTTCTGAATTAATAAGAGTAGGGTTTTTTCCAGTATCTGAATAATTTGATCATCTAAGCAATTACTATTAATTGCAATCAATAAAAAAAACTTACACTGGGCAGGGGGTATGATGAAGTACCTTCGAAAAACTGGATGGTTTTTGGCTTGATTGACTATTACTTGAGCAAGTGGTTTGCTGATTTGCTTGATGAAAAGCACCCCCAATTTGACAACTGGAAAAACTCCAACAACCATTCTGATTTATCCTTGAATCACAGCTGTTATTGAGCAAACAAGGGAATGTTACGATTCTTTGCTCTTCTATTTCAGTTGCTTGCTTTGATCTGGTCCATAGAAAACATAAAAATCATAAAATAATTGTGAAAATAACATAATTCAAGTAAGGTAAGTGATTTGTCACGTCAGGGGCATCCACTATGTTAGAGGTAACCTTTGCTATTGCAGAACTAACGAGCAACTGAATTCGAGTTAGCGAAAAGGTCACGAATAGGAGGGTCAGTGCTTTTGGCATGGGCATTATTTCACGATTTACGAAAATATGAGAGTTAAATTAGCTGCAAGTGTACATGGAAGTACTCAACCGCAAGCACATCAGTGAGCTGACAAAAATTCTACAAGCAGCGCAAAGGTCATGAGAGCAGACGGTATTCATTAATTTTAAAGCTTCAATAGCAGATGAAAACAAATGTTTATATCACGACCATGATTTTATGAACGTATAACCTGCTTTCTTGCGTCCTTTGTTCTTGACCGTAATCAACGAGGTAAAACAACATTTGATGTTGGTTGAGATATCCGGATATAAAATTTGAGGGTGAAAAGGGTCGATTTGACGATGGAGTTGAGAAAAAAAAAAAACTTACGTCGAAGCGTCCGACAGTCCAAGTCAAGCAGCTTGATTCATAATTAAGAAGAAATCATCATACTGTCTTCGTCAATACACACAAATGTATAAACGGAGTTATAGCGATAGAATTTTGGCTTTTAGTATACCTAACTTCCCTTGGTGAGCTAAATATATGAGAAAAACATTTCCCTCGTTCTATCTCTTTTTCCTTCTACATATACATTCAATGCTCGTGCACTTTACACATAGCGCCTGTTTACCTGCATAAGATGCAATCTGCAATTTGTAATTCGACACTGCAAAGCAAAAATAAACACAAATGATACTTAACTACTTATGATGCTTTTGTACGGGCAAGTGCCAAGTACTTAAATGGACAATTCGATTGTGTATTGACAAAATGTTGTTATCAATGCGATACATCGAAAAATCGAAGTAATGTGATGTCCATCTAACCTTCTTTTGAGGCTGTATGATCCAAATTATATTTTATTTTTTGTTTAGTTATTGTTATTATATAAAGTTGGTGTTTGTTAATGCACTTTTAAATAGACCATGAGCTGAGGCCGAAGGGAAGGGTGGTCAAAATTTTAACTTGCTGCCACTCTCACCAATATTGAGGAACCTTATGATTCGTGGAGATCCGGAATATTTTGTCATATTTCATAGTGGTGAAGAGCTATGTGGTAATTATAGTGGTGCCGTATGATCTTTTTTATTGACTAGCCGCAACTTACACCAATAGATAAAAAATAAAAAATTGTCAACTGAGAGTGCCATTTGCGGCAAGATAAAAATCCATCTTGTACCCGAAAATCGACCTAAAAAAATATAGATATCGTATTATTATCTATACTGTTATCTACAATGCGTCACATATTATCTTAGATGAGTATTATAGATAAGATCGGGTAGGGAGTCTATATTTTTATAGATCGATTTTTGGGTACACGATACATTCTAATCTTGCTGCAAATGGCACTTTCAGATGACAACTTTTTATTTTTTATCTATTGGTGTAAGTTGCGGCTAGTCGATAAAAAAGATTATACAGCACTACTATAATTATCACATAGCTCTTCACCACTATGAAATATGACAAAATATTCCGGATCTCCACGAATCATAAGGTTCCTCAATTTTGGTGAGAGTGGCGGCTAGTTAAAATTTTGACCACCCTTCGGCCTCAGCTCTTGGTCTACACGGCTCAAGGCCAATGACGTCTTAAAACCATGCCCCTCTTTGCCAATCTAAATCAGTGTGTGGTACAGTGTGGTGAGTGGTGAGTTTTCGACTTAGAGCATATACATATGGAACGTCACGTTATCCCATTAGAGCTATTCACATAGACATTTTTTGCTTATGTTATTGTGAACGTTCATATTAAAAAGGGGGTTCCACTGTTTCGCTAAACTCAAAGTGAGTGAACAGACTGAACATACCTATACTTCTTTTTCCATCAGGCAACAAAGCCTATATATGGCCTCTGGAGTCTGATCGCAACTATGTTGACTGACAGAAGTTGAGAGAACACAGTATAGGTCTGTTTAGTCTGTTCACTCAATTTGAGTTTAGCAGAACAGTGTAATGAAACCCCCTTTTCAATATGAACGTTCACAATGAAATAAGCAAAAAATGTCTATGTGAATAGCTCCTATATACAGCTCGATACCGTTCGATATAGATCTCTGATCGTATAGATGACTATAGATGACTATAGATGACATTTAGGTTTAAGGGGAAAAGTATGACATGTTATCTCTCTCACACTAATAAGTTATCTCCGAATTATCTAAATACTCGGATTAAACGGCCAGTGTTTACTACGGAAGCTCCGATCCGCCATCTATAGGCAAGCTACTTTTGCTTTCGTTCCTCAAAATAGGCAATGCAACTACTTGCGTAGTTAGAACCACAGTTCACTTTTTAATGATAAATGGATGATCATAATAGTTACCCGTTTACTAAAATTTATGTATGTACTTTCAAAATTAGTAAGCACTAAAAATATTTGCTGAAAGATCCGAAAACAGGTTATGACGCTTTGTTTTGATTATGCTTTTTGGGCAACGCAAGTAGTTGCATTGTCTATTTTGAGGAAAGCAAGCAGCTTGCCTATAGATGGCGGATAGGAGCTTCCGTAGTTTACGGAACGCATGATGCGTTACGCATCCGTATTGGACCACTAGAACGAACCAAAATTAGTGCGCAAGTTTCGGGATATATCGAACAGAGGTCTGATCGGGGCATTCGATATCTCGCTTAAGTAACACAAGCAGTTTTTTCGATAATCCCTATATAACCAAAAATAACGATAATGCGCATGCGTAGTTTAGGGATTATGATTATCGAAATAACAATAACTGCTTACTTAAGGGTGAGATTACATGGAGTCTGGCAGTCTGCAGACTGGCAGAATCGCGCTAAGTTTAAAATATGTTTCAATATTTATATTTAAAACCTGTTACGTATGCAAAGAAATAATTATCGTAATACATTTGCATTTCTGTATTAACTAATATTTATGAAAAAAAAGGCGACGAAAAACGTTTTGTCACAGTTACATTTTGTTATACATACCAGGTAACATCAGTGACCCTACTGACCGACTGTGCAATGTTGACATAAATCTATAAAAAAAGTTATAAAATAATATTTGACACGTTTTATTGTTAATGAAATTGATTGTAACTAAGCCTTTATTCTGTTATGACAATAATTACAATTTTTTCTTGATTTTACTAAATTATTCAGAGATGTTATAATTTAAACATAACTTAAACTTAGCGCGATTCTGCCAGTCTGCAGACTGCCAGACTCCATGTAATCTCACCCTAAGCCCTTAAGCGAGACGGTTCGAGATTTATCGTCACACCACCAACTTTCCGACGAAAACGTAACAGAAAGTTAACTTTTTGAAATCTCGAAAGATGTTGCGTATATCGAAGAACTCAATCAGACGGACACAAAACCTATACACATAAGTACAAGCGAGTGCTTAGAGTAACTCTGAAATTAGTTGTCTACCAACAGTTTGTAGCAATAATTTTTAAAACTTGTCTCCAGTGTTTGGTGGTTTGTGTAAAAATAAGTTCAACAAACTCAGTTACAAATTACAAATCTCCAAATTTATCTCGCCTTACTTATCGTCACCAATCACTAATATCACCATGCACTGTTGATGTCATCGATTCATCGATGTTCGTGATAATTTGATTGCGTTTATTTCTGTGTTAGGTACTGACGTTACTGTTGACCGGTCATCCGAACATCAGAGGAGCGGTGAGGGTACAGGGGAGTAACGGGATCGTGTAAATATACTAGCTATACTATAATGCAGTCGCACCACTACTGCTACGAGTACTAAAAACAACGTAACCTCTGACCACTTTATTAGCGAGTGTGCCCTGTTAGGTATTATCATCACATCGTAAGAAAGCGCAAGAGAAATGGAGGATCTACTGCTGCCTCCTGGCATGGAGCATCATTCATTCGTCCATCAGTTGAACAACGGGCACAACTCGTACTCCCAGCAGCAATTCTCTGATGACGATGATGGCGACGATGACGACAGCGAGTACCCAAAGTCTGTCAACAGGTCGGATAAAAATTCTAGGCCGAAGAAGAAGAAAAAGAAGAAGAAGAAGAAAAGACAGCAACAACCCGATGCAGCCCAGGAAAGAAAAAAAAAGAACGATGCCCTGGCGGCGGCCTCGGCCGACCGCGGGCCCGAGATCGAGTACGTCCAGGAGATTCCGACCGTCAACGAGCTCGAGCCCATGTACCGGCAGTTCGCCAAGGTTTTTGAGGCCTTCAAGATCGTTGAGCCCGAGAAGCCCATCGACGGTGAGGCCATCAGTCAGTACCCTCCCAACTCCGGTGCTGCTGCAGCAGCAGCTGCTGCAGCCGTAGCCATGAAGCTCGGTGCCCTCAGCGACGAGTACGAGGAAGACGCCCAGCAGCAGCTCCAATTGCAGCAGCAGCAAGCCGGTGGAGACGGAGATTCCCAGAAGCTCTCCAAACGCAAGCTCAAGAAGCTCACGAGGCTGAGCGTGGCCGAGCTCAAGCAGCTCGTCGCCCGACCCGACGTCGTCGAGATGCACGACGTTACGGCCCGTGATCCCAAGCTTCTAGTACAGCTCAAAGCCCACCGGAACACAGTGCCCGTGCCCAGGCACTGGTGCTTCAAGCGCAAGTACCTCCAGGGCAAGCGAGGTATTGAGAAGCCGCCCTTCGACTTGCCGGCTTTCATCAAGCGCACTGGCATCACCGAGATGCGCGCCAGTCTCCAGGAGAAGGATGAGTCCAAGACCCTCAAGGCCAAGATGAGGGAACGAGCTAGGCCCAAGCTCGGCAAGATCGACATCGATTACCAGAAGCTTCACGATGCGTTCTTCAAGTGGCAGACTAAGCCGCGAATGTCCATTCATGGGGATCTCTACTACGAGGGCAAGGAGTTTGAGACGCGTCTCAAGGAGAAGAAGCCTGGTGAACTGACGGATGAACTGCGCACGGCCCTAGGCATGCCGATTGGCCCGAATTGTCAGAAGGTGCCTCCCCCGTGGCTCATTGCCATGCAGCGTTACGGGCCACCCCCGAGCTACCCCAACTTGAAGATCCCAGGGCTCAACGCGCCCATACCTGAGGGTTGTGCTTTTGGTTATCATGCTGGTGGCTGGGGTAAGCCACCTGTGGATGAGACTGGTCGACCCTTGTACGGCGATGTCTTTGGCATGTCCAGAGCCCCTGGCGAAGACAACATGGATGAAGACATTGATAGAGGAATGTGGGGAGAACCAGAGTCTGAGTCATCGGGAGAAGAGGAGGAAGAAGAGGAAGACGAGGACAAAGCCGAAGAAGGTAACAATTATAATTGTCGTCGTTGTGTTTTAGTGATTTTCTTTTTCCAAGCTTCGAATGATCATAATAATCTCGGGAATATTTTGTTTTTCAGGGAAAGAAGATGCAACTGGATTGGTTACACCTGGAGCAGAGGGTCTTATTACTCCGAGTGGTATCACTTCTATACCTGCTGGTCTGGAAACGCCAGAAACAATTGAGTTGAGAAAGAAAAAGATTGAAAGTGAGATGGAAGGCGGCGATACTCCGGCTTTGTACACAGTGCTGCAAGAGCGCAGAACCGAGGGATTGGGCTCTAGTATGATGGGTAGCACTCACGTGTACGATATGACCGGCGCAGGAGGTCAAGCACCGCCAGTGGTCATTGCTGCTCGGCGAGGTACTGTATCAACCTCTGAAGTTAGGGCGACGGAAAGGGAAGGAGCTGTCGAGTTGGCTCTTGATCCGAGTGAATTGGATTTGGACTCAGAAGCCATGGCAACCCGCTACGAGGAAACTATGCGCAACAGGCAGGCTTTGCGACGAGAAGATCTGTCTGATATGTTGCAGGATCATGTACAGCGACAAAAGGTAATACATTATTTTTTTAATTGTGTAGACCACAGTATATGTTAGTTTTTAACGCTTTGCTAATTTTGTATTTTTTTTATTTACTTTTCAGAGCAAAAGAAAACGTCAACAGAACCAGGATAGTAAATCATCCAAAAAATATAAAGAGTTTAAATTTTAAACATTTTTATTTTCTAATTTTTGTATATATTTGATGATAACTAGATTTAAGACTACAATAAAATATACAAATTACAATCGCGTATTCTGTGTATAACCATTGACCTTATGTTGCATAGTTACAAAAAATAACTTAATTCCATCAAAATTATTTTCTGTTCGATATTGATGTGTTTTTTTTTTTTTGTATAAATGATTTCGTACTTGAATTGAGTCTTTCTACAATATTGAGTAAGAAACTTTTTTTGAGTTATCAGCAAAACAGTTCAAAAATATTGTATCTCACTATAACTTTTTGAATAAAATTAATATACAATTTTAAAANCACCTAATTGAATACAAAGTAAATGCAAATAGAGTAACATTTAGACGTGCGTGAATTATGTTATTAGTTATTACTCGCCCCAATTTTCTCTATTGAGGGGTGGATACCTGGTAACGCTGATAAAATCATTGCGTGTATCATAACGATAATTAGTGCGCGATGCTCTTACGAACTGGTGCGGCTAAAAGCCTTTCAGAGCCCGCACTGTGATCTACGTCGCAGTTCCGCCAGAGTTAAATTAAAAGAGCAACACGGAGATCCGCCCCTCCTATCCGCTTTCCTGTACCGAGAGATTAAAAATTTTCTCGCGCTGCCCCGCACCACGCACACGCGTGCACACCGAGAGAAAAATATAATAATAATTACTGTGCTAGAATGGTAATCTGGTACTGTTGGATCGTATAGAGACTTTTTACTATTGGAACAATCATTTTTAAGGGTTAGACGTCATTTTTGTTGCAAGTATTGTGATTGTACAATGGGAGTTACTGTCCGGAATGCTAAACGTTAGGGTGGCCAAAGTAAAAAGTCCCTAGAAATGGCACCGGATTACCATTCCAGCGCAGTAATTTTTATTATATTTTTCTCTATATGTACCTATATGTCAGAGGATTAAAACCGAATTCTGTGCATTTAAGCCCTATACCTACATAATTCCTGTGGTTCGCTTGTCGAAAAGAAAGAAAAAAGTCCTGTGAAAATTTCCGGACCGAGAGTGGATTCGGTCCGTAACATATATATGTATATAGGCGTTCCCTGCCACCTTCTTCCTCTCGGGCGTGTGACGCAGTGCGGAATCGCTTCGTACACGCGCCGTCGCTATGTTAACCACGCGCGTGTGATAAATATCGCTTGGCGTTTTATAATACGTATGCACTTACTCTCGAGCCAGCACAAGCGCAATTAGAGGAGACACCCGAGTCTCTTCCTCTTGCGGCGGATTAGAGCCGATTTTTGTTTATTAGCCGGGCGACGGGTTCTCCGATGGGAACTTTTTTTTCCACTGGTGCAATTCACAAAGAGGAAGACGGAGAAGAGCTGCTACCTGCCCTGCAGCTCAATGGCAAATGAAAGTTGGCTTAATAAGATTTGCGCGCGGGAATCTCGGGGGATTAGGGAGTGTTTAAGCCTCTCTGCGGAATAATGCCTCTTTTTCTTCGACCTTTTGCCCCGAACGGCGCATAAGTACCTACACCCTACCGGTTCTCCACATTGAGGCTTTGTCTTTTTTTTTTTTTCTTCTTTTTTCCAACTTATTTCTCACACTCACATTTGCGTAAAATTTAGGGCTCAACACTTATAGTCTTGAAAAATTCCAATGCTTGCATTGTAGTTAAAAAAGAAATTTTCACTTCAGTTTCGTCAATTCGGCACCCGCTCACTCACTCTTTTTCTTTTTTCTTCCCACGAAAAGATGCATTTTTTTAAATCTTCCGTTGCAGTCTTTCTCTGTTTGATCTTCACCGTGTCATACATGATAAGAATTCAGATCCCACATCGATGGGCGGATCTTGGTCTGGGATACCTACTCGATATCTTTAGCTTTCGTTTTACATAGTACGTTTATACTATATGCTGGCTAGTACTCCTCCTCCTCTCTGGCCTATTTGTGTACATACTGTCGCGCAGCAAAGATTTCCAGATCTTGAGTGTTGCGCGTCAACGCGTTCAGTCCAGAATGACGACCATGTCCTCGGCTCGTTGCGCCACGGCCGCTGCCGCTGCTGCGGCTGCCACTCGTGGAGGTATGCTAAGTCTGCGCCAAGGTTTGCGCGCCGCTCTGCGTAGGTCTAGACTTGGCATAGTTTTCCTCATCCTCCTAAAATCAAACGTTCAATAAGTATTTCTTTATTTTGTTCAAGTCTAAGTCTCAACCGATAATATTATCAACAGCCACTCCAACAAAATGAAAATACTACTAATTTTACGGGTTGCTTTGATACCACAAAATACAGTTGAACGTCATCGTTTTCAAAACTTCTTTGATTACATACATATTTTTCATTTTAATTATAAAAAAGCAATGCTACTCCATGAATAATAAAAACAGTTTAATGGTTGATTACTCGAAAAAACGGTGAGAAACGCTATTAAGTTCTGATGTGATTCTTGATGTTCAGTTTAAGTTGTTCGAGTGCAAAGGAGATGTCATTGTTTTGTTTACATACTTGATGTGCTCTGTGGAGCGGAAGTACACGTCGTCGGGTGCGTCCATCCACGACATCAGTTGTTTGCGTGCGTTGCTCCTGGACATGGGGCCCTGGGCGGACAACGCGTGAGGCAGAGATGCGCGCCCGTTGAGAGGGGCGACGTGAGGCGGAAGCACGGAGGCCGCGACTGCCGCTGCGGCGACCGCTGGACTGGCCACCGAAGCCACGTGATCCAGACCAGGAGTGCGAGCGTTCCCATGTAGAGTAGCTGACTGGGCTCCGTGCTGGGCTCGTTTTAACGGCGGCTGGCCGCTAGCTATCGCATTTAGTCCAACACCTAGAACGACAAGATAAATACTTGGTGACATGGTTGAGGATAATTTTAATCATAAAATAATGTATCTTCACGTCAATTGTTCTGATGTGGGAAAAATTTGTATTCAGCCATAATATACAGGTACGAATACCGACGGGTTCAAGACTACTCTTGGAGGTTTCTGTTTCAACTCATACTTCCGGTAAATACCATGACCTTGTTTCGACGCTGATATATTTTTTTTCTTCTATTTTCTCATTTGACATTGATAAATTACCATTTCTCCGTGATTTCCCTTTTATAATGACATCACAACTATCAGACCCCACTATTTGATGTTACAAAAAAGAACTTAAAAATTAGATTTTTCAACATTGAACATCATCCCACTATTTTCAGTTTTTAAATTTATTTATACATATATCGGTGCAAAAAATTTTGCATAAATTTTGCAGCATCTCAAGTCCGCATTTTCAGAAAAATTCTAACATGAAATTTTGCTAATAGACATTATTTGTTAATCATGCTAATAGAAAAGTAAAATAAAGTTAAGAACGATAGAGTGAGTCAACACGAGAAAAATGTAAATAGTACATTACTGATAGTGGAAAGAAAAGTAATAACTGAGCCAGATCACAATTTGACAGATAAGCATGCGATCTAAAGAACTTTGTGTTATCTCTCCTGGGTTACACATGATTTTTTGTGTTTGCACCGGAGAAAAAAATGACTTTATCACCACTTTACCCTGCAGGAACGAAAAAATAGTGTGACTAAAAAAACCTCCAAGACTACAGAAAGGCAAGTATTAATTGTTTAGGTTAGCCATACAGAGAAGCTATTTAAATCACTTAAATAAAACAGGGCATAAAAGTTATAAAAACTAAAAGTTTATAAAGAACATGATGAGGTCTCATCGAGGTGTAATCATGCAAAAACTAGCACAACAGCCACAAAGGAGAGCATGCATGGACAGCAGAAGAAGTGAGGGTGGTCGAAATTCAATCGAACTCGATAAGTATGACACGAGACTGACCATCAGCACCGTTAACTTCGTCAAACAGTGGCCTTGTGCGCTTCAATAGATTTTGTTGCGGCTGCAACGTAGGCTGGACAGGTGGAGTTGCAGGAAGTCTCTCGACATCCGACTTGTTGGGAACTCGCTCGTACAACAAACTGCCATCTAAAAATAAAAAAAATAAAAAAAAAATATGGAGCATTAAATAAAGGTAATAAGCGATAAGTAGGACGTAAAAAAACAAGACAATTACCTGGAGCCTTGGGTGGCCGGGGAAAGGACACGCGATCCGGTTGTTTGCGCATGGCTGGCGCGGTGAGCAGGAGCCAGTCCCAATCACCGGGCTGGCGGGGCTGGGATAGATTGCCGAGACGAGTGGCGATATCGGTGACGCGAGGCCGAGGCCTGGGGCGTGAGGCCCGCGCCAAAATGCGCAGCTCTGCTTGTGACTTGGACGACAACTGAGGCGAGTTGATGAGCATTCGAAGTGGCGCGACGTTCATCAGCTGATGGGGAGCGCGTGCCGCGTGTCGAGTACGCAGCTGGGCAGCGCACAATCGCCTAGCTGCTCTGGCTATCGTCGAAGTACGCAAGTAAAAGGCTGAGCGCGTCTTCATCACGGGTCTTGGCGAACCTGCAACAAAAAAATCACGATTGAATCTTCAAACTCGACCACTAACATCGTCATCACCTCTCCGTAAGGTAGGTCTATCTTGAATTAGCTTACCCAAACCAACGCCAACTCCTACTCCAGCTGCGGCACCGGCTGGACCGGTATTGCTTCGGACTTCGAGCCCATGAGTGCCGACGTAATGACGAGTCAGGTGCGCCTTGAGTTTAAAGTCCTTGCCACAGGAGGCAACGTTGCAGCGGTACGGTTTATGGGACCCACTAGCTCCTTTGCTCTCCTCATCGGAGCCGGCGCTGTTGCGCTTGCGATCGGCGTCGACCTCGTCGATTCGCGAGGGCACCTTCAAGCCACCGTACTTTTTCCAATAATTCCAGCAACTTTGGCAGAGCCGGCACTGCGCGTTGAGCGGGCCCCAAGGGTACCACTGGGGACTTTGCATCGTTTGGCAACTTTCGCAGGGCTTGCCGATCGTCGAGGCCATGAGCATGGCAGCAGCCTCAGCGCCGTTGCTGCTGCCGTTGAGTATGCTAACGGCCGCGCCGGCCTTGGCACCGTTGCTCGCGTTGTTGGGCGTCCCGAGGGGGATAATGCTTGCCTGGCCGGCGATGAGACCCACAGGTGCTGCTCCCGGCCCCGCTGGGCCCGCATTTTTACTATAGTTTGGTATGTAAACCTGCTTGAGCTTGCTCTCAGCTTCAACGGCTTTGACACGTTTTTGTTGCACGTAGCGGTCGGTCGTCTTCCACATGTAGTAGTACTCGATCACGTTCTTCAGGGACTTCCATGGCAACTGAAAATGCACAAAAGTATTAGTGCGTGATAATTAGCTGGCGGTAAAGATGATGAGTAAAAAGTAAAGTATAGAGGCTTTGATTAGTCTAACTGTTGGATTATTTCAGTTACTGCAAGTCAAGGAGAAGCCATAAGATATTACTCATTAGATACTTAAAAACTTTTTAATTAAAGTATCTAGTTGATAACTTTAGGGTAGTTAGTGCAAAAATCAATTTAAATATTAAACGAATTTAACTATCATGGTTGAGAACAACTGTGGGTGCTGAACGACACTTTAAACGGTCATCTTCATTGTACAACGATTTATAAGAGTTAACTAGCATGAAGATTAACTTTTTTTGTTTTTTTCTGTACTATTGATTGTAAAAAGTAAAAAAAAATATTCTTTAGCTTTTGTTCGATGGTTCAGTACTAAGTTGAGCACTTTTCTGCGATGGATTGTAAATACATTTCAAAGAGGAGTAATAGGAAATGGTTGAGTAGTTTTGTGAATATAATTTGTCCTTTTAACGTCTTTTAAAGAGGATGTGGAGGCTACCTGTTTTAGCTCAATCTATTTTGTGACAACGGTACTTTAATAACGTTTAAAGGTACTTTAATCTAATCAACATTAAACATCAGTTAACTTTCTGAAATCCTAGAAATGGATGTATTACATACATACATAGAATTTCTGATGAATTCATTAATTTTAAGCATCATAGAGTATGTACCAATTAGTAATTCCTCTACTGCATCAATAATTTGTAATAATTTTTTTTTTTATTTTGTCACTACCAACTCTTAATTGGTACTACTGACACCATCAAGTTGTCTTGACATTTTAAAAAAAACAGTATTTTTTTATAATCAGCTGGAATATTCCAGTACTTTACTACTGCAGGACGAAAGGATACTTTTTCATCTCCTCAGGCGTTCACATTGGGAAAAAGAAAAATAATGTTCGCCACACAAGCGCCATACAACAGTTCCTCTCGAGCTTATATGCAGCCTCGACAGCGATGGCGCTCAATGCTCATGTGACGAAAACCACAGGTACCATATTTCTCGTTCGTTCAAATTCAATGGGCGCGTTAGGAAATTACTAGATTTGTTCAAACCCTTCTTTGGTTCGGTCCCAGTTCTTCACTATACAGACATACTTTTCCCCCCAAACCTACCTATAAGTATGTTTTGGGGGAAAAAGTATACCTATGTTAGTATGAACCAAACCGAACCAAAGGGGGAGGGGGGGGAGGTAAAATCGTTTGTTCCAAAATAGCAAAGAAATTTTTTTTGGTTATGGATCGGGTTCTCTGTCACTTCCAACTTATCAAATTTTTGGAATGGAAGGTAATTTTCGAACGCGTCCCAAGTTAAATTTACTTGGTCACCCGAACAAATCCCTAAACTTTGCAGTAAAATGTTTCAATTAATGAATATATTCATAACGTTGACCATTTAAAGTTAATAATAATCCATTTACTATTGTATTTGAGTGACATTTATCTTGTGAATTAATTAGATTGTGTAATACCAGGTTAATAAAATGAAGATTAGGAGTAAGTATTTTATCGTTTAGTTTGCCATGTAGTTTTAACACGAGGATGTGTGGTATATGTATGATATGTATGTACGTCAGGTTAAAATTTTCATCCACAATGGTATATAGCCCTACTACCTAGTTGCTCAACACTGATACTATACTTTTCATGTCGAATAAGAGTATTATTTTTATATGAATAATTTATAAATACTACATCCATGGATACACATTCAAAACGTCGTTTTTTCATTTATGCAATGTATCAATCAACTCTAAGCAAAAATCAATCTGGTTCAAGGTGCACCAGCTTGTATAATGATGTAAAATACTTTTGAAAATGCATCCATACCACACATGCAAAAGTTAGAAGAAAACAAAAAAAAGGCAATAACATCGACTTACAAAATCATGACGAATGTCCGAAAAGTCTTTTCCATATTTTTCGAGGGCCTCTTCGAAGAGATTCGCTTCGGAGGCGCTCCACTCCTCCATCTCGTCCCTGCAGAGGACTGGCCCGGAGCCGGGCACCAGAGAGGACATTGCCTTTTCCAGGTCGTAGTCGTGCTTGTGCAAAGTGTCCATGGCGTGAAACTAAAAAGCGACAACGTTTGGTGTGAAACGGGAAACTAAAAGGGAAGAGAAAAATTCGGTCGACTTGAGGCCTACCAGAGTGACGTCCCTGGATGCCGCGGCAGCCGACATGTGGAGCGAGGGCTGCTTAACCGAGGACGAGCAGTCGAGGGCCCGGGCGAAGGTGCCGACCGAGCGACTGATGACGAGGAACTGGTCGATCTGCCGATCCGTGAGCTTGTGCTGGGGCTTCCAGACGAGCTGCTCGAGCTCCTCGAGTCGCCGAGGATCGCTGTCGCGCTCCGCAGGCGTCAGGGGCACGGGCGCTATGTTGTCCGCTTGGTACTTGGTGCCCACTCGTATTTCGCCTGCAATGTCATTTTTATCACTCGATGTGCGTCTACGACGACGCACCATTTCGTTTATCGTACTGCACCAAGAGAAAAAAAAAACAAAAAAAACTACAACACGGCCTCAGTTCTAATTGATAGCGAAAACTTTTTGGCTCCACGCAGTTGTTTGAATGCCGATAGTCCCGCACTATTACTTTTGAATTAAAGTAGCCACACTGTAGGTGTAAATGTATGTTATCCAAGTTTTTGAAGCTCTAGTATGCGTGCAGGTAGACTTGGAGTGGTACCCACGGGTGTCTCCAGCTTACTGACGCACTTGAGCTCAAAAACTGTGGGCCCGAGACGAAGTACACAAATATTCAGCTACGCAGCGCGCGTCAAGATGGACTTTGCACTCTGAGTACTCAATTTGGACTGTAACTGGTGGAACTACTCGGTGAGATTCGGGGGTGCGCAGAGACGATATCGAGACCGCTCGTGATTGGTCGGCCGCCGATCGAGACTCATGGGTCATGTTGGGGGCTCGAGTTACTCATACACTTGTGTATACATATGTATATGTGTTTGTGGCTTCCCGGACAAACCGATTCCCTCCATTTTTTCCAAAATTGAGTTAGGACTAAAAAGCATATCTTTTTTTTAGTGTACTTTTGTCCAAACAAAATTTTGAAATGATTCGAGTTACCGATTTCCTATAATCGGCACAAGACCTAAGCGATTAACGGCCATTTTCTGGGTCTAACCGATTAGGTGACTCTTGTCCCGACCCAATCGAATAAGTGATGTAAGAAAATCGTCGCTACATCGAAAATTGATGATTTTAAGATGCGGAAATCATGAAAGAATATTGCATTTAGTAATTTTCACCGCAAGTATGTGGCTTTTACAATTAATTACTCAAATTTCTCGTATATAATGCGAACGTACGGTATATGAGTCCTGCGTTACACTTACAACTATTATAAGAGAGAGACATCAAATTTTTACTGCAGTATATTACAAGGATAAGAATAATTCATTATTGGATTTCAATAGAGCAACAGCCACATATTTATAAAATTTTACTGTAGGGGTAAATGGGCGCTAATGTCAGAGTTATGCCGTAGAAAAGCCTACTCCTCTCGTAGGGGCCAAAATTCATCACCTAACGTGAGTTTACTTTAAATATGGGCGCTCCACATTAGTTAAAATCCCTGAAATTGCAGTCCAAGCCGTGTTTCCGACGAATAGTAACCAGATTCAAAATTTTCGATGTCATTTTACTATACTCCAAAGTACTACAGTGCCATGTTTAAGTAATAAAAATGTACTACTCTGTAACAGCTAATTAGTAAGCAGGTATGGCATATATCCTGGTGGTTAAATACAATCTTTTGTTGAATATTCGTAAATTTGAATAATCGAATCAGTTCTGCGTTTCTGGCCTAATCGAATAACTCCAAAAGCAACTTTTCCCCTGCAGGTGGCGTTGTTTCAAATTGCTGCACGAAGCAAATAACTAAACAGCTAATCAGATGAAGAACAGGATTCGGTACCAAAAGTTAACATTGTTGATGGAATATAGATGTTGTATATTGTTTTGTCTACGTTTTGTGCCATCTTTATCTTTTCAAAAAATTGTCTCGTCGTTAATTTATTGAAACGGCGCGGTAGTGAATTAAGTTTTACCATCAGCTTAACAAATAAAATTTTTTGACGCAGGCTAATCTGCAGTCTTTTTTTACAAGAATCGGATCCAAGGAAATTTTCTCGAACGCGTTCCTTTTCCGCAGATGTGTGATCACGGCTTATAACGGAAAAGCAAAGGGATTATTCCCCCAGTGTTGGAGTACTTGCACTTTCCATAGCACAGGTAGCGTCGTCTCGTGGATTGCAGCACGAACTATAAGGAAAGTGAAACAAATCCACTAATCCACAAAATACGGATAAATATATATATTAACCGAATAAAAACGCTGTTGCAGCTCATGAAATACTTTCGCAAAATACTGCGCTTTATTGACAATCTGTTAATTTTAGGTCGCAGCTTGACTTCTTTAAACGTTTAAAGCAAAACATTAGCTTGGTAAGGATATTTAGCCTAATTAAAGCACTACACACAATTTATACGTGGGTTAGCTGTTGATTGGTTTTACCTCTCTAACATTTCGTGCTATATACGCTAGTAAAGTACCGCTAACAGTGCCACTTTTGGTGGTTCAATCGCGATCTTTTTTCATGAATATTGAAAAATTAAAACATTTTTTGTAAATAATAATAATAAACGCGGGTTTGTCGTGATTAAATAAAGCGAATTTACTTTTTATTTAGTTGTGATAGTGCATATAATAGTTTCTGCACCACCACTTTTGCACATTTTGACCGCACGATTTTGGGCTACTTAACTAGCGTATAATACGGGTAAACTATTCGAAAATCACAGTGATTTTCAAACTAATTACCAGTGATTTTATTATTGTATTAAACGTAAACAAAATTGTTCTTTCTATTAAACTAAAATGTAAAAACATCTTTTTTGGCTCCAACTCCAAAACAAAGCATAATAAGTTGCAAAATTATGTAACCTCCAAATAACAACCCATACAGTAACATAATTGATGTACAAACTTCGGAAATTCAAAAATGAAGAGAATGACCCTTGTTCGATCGACTTTGATGCTGTAGTTATTACAAAATCAATAATTATAATTATTTGCATTCAACTACCAGCATACTTAAGTCGTCGCGTCTACTTTCATTTGAGCAATGCTTTCGAGTCGAGCAGACGCTACGACATTGACTCTACTGGTAATAAACTGCCATTTAACATAATTATTAATTTTTAAATAATGACAGCATCAAATTCGATTCAAAAAGGGCATTCTATTTGTTTTTTTACTTCGCGAGTTTGTACATCAATTATTTTACTATATGGGTCTTTATTTGGAGGTTATACAATTTCGCAACTTATTTTGCTTCTTTTCGCAATCAGGGCCAAAGACGATTTTATTACAGTTCAGTTCAATTGAAAGAGCCAGTTTTTTTTACGTTTATTTCAAAATTAATATCGCCATTGACAATTAGTTTGGAAAAAAAAGTTATTTTACCCATACGAGGATATACTTATAAGTATATGCAGCCATACAAGTCTGTTCACTTGTGAGTTTATTTACACGCAGTTGGTAACGGTAAGATGGGCACCATATCGCACGTTTATGCATTACCATCGGAGCAAAAATTTTATCAAGCTGCTTACAATATAAAGCCGCGCCTGATTGCCTTCGAACCACCACCTGTACGGGGCAAACGTATTGGCTAGATGGCACAATTCACGATGGTAAAAATATGGTCTGTAGATCTAAGAATATGTATACGTATACATGCACTTATATGTTTATATATACACGAATACGCAGCGATATCGTGGAATTAAAAATAATTTTACATCTATTACTTATGCCAGAGTTATTAAAATGTATACTTATTGAAGGTAATTAAAATATTTTTTGATTCACGTGACCCTTTTGAGGTCGGTAACTTTTTATTCGGATATAAATATATTGCCGTGATTGCACCGTAAACTAGTAACATTCCGTCGCCCAGGGATTTTAAAAATTTTTGTATTATTTACATACTGGTTTTCACTCTTCAGAACAGAATCTTCAATAATCATAAGTATCTGCTCAGTAGTATTGTACATGTACTTAGTACCGTGAAAATTGGGTTGCAAAAAGATTCAAGTCCCTATGTTGAGAAATGCCACTAGTTTACAGTGCTTGCATCAAAATTTTTTTTCTTTTTGATTCGTATGAGTACTCTTAATCACACTCACCTTTATCAGCGAGCAGAGTTCGCTGGGTGGGGTCGAAGACGAGACAGTAAAAGAACGAGTCGTCCTTGTTGAGATAGCTGAGCAACGATTCTGTCTCGTTGAGTAGGGTGACGCAGCACTTGCCTCTGATGTGGGTGGCGGGCATGGTCTCGACTTGCCGGGACAGAAAGAGCTCACGGTGCTTCATCTGGTGGCGTTGCTTCGTCGTCAGCTCGGATACGCCACCGATCCCGGGCCCGAGGTTTGGAATCGGGCCGCTACCGTTCCCGCCACCAACGGCCCCCGTGCATCCTCCTCCTCCTCCACCGCCGCCGCTTATGGCCATGCCCCCACCGCTTAGCACGCTCGTGCCATCCTCCATCCCTGGGGACAGACGAACAATACCTTTGTTTACTTATTTATTTATTTATAGAGGCTTCGCCTCGTAGATGAGCTTGGATGGTATGGTTTTTTTTTCTTTTCAGAAATTAGCTTGCACCTCATTTATAAGGCGAGTTTTCTTAGACCACGGTGAGTGTGAAAAAAAAAGATTAATGTTCGTCAATCACACACTAAATACGTAATCGGAATACGAAAAATGATATAGTCGTTGTTTATTGCTTGCCTATTTTTAAAGGTAATCTCATTGCTAATATTGTACAACACATTTTATAGTATACCCAAGGCAATAATTGGTCGTCTCGGGGTGAAAAAATAAAATGGGATTAATCAATATATATGCTCGACTCAGTTTCAGTTGATTGTCAATAATTTTAATTTCTGCCATGTATTTTGATGCCTAGGAAAGAAATTTACACGAGATAAAGTTCAAAAGACATCTTGACGATTAGATAAAAATAATTTCAATACAATATATTAATAAAACATCTAGTTAAGAGAGCTTTTGTTTCGGTGGGAGGGTATCGTGATGTTAAGAATTTTTTTTTGATAATTATGACAGTAACATTATTACCACAAATTAGCACATATAACTATTTAGAAGGCCTCACTATAGTTTTCTAACGGTTTACAGAAATTGTACACAAAATTCAAAGTCAACATCAAAATTAATTTTTTCATACAACATTTATAGTTCAACTTTTCGATGTTCAATGAATGTATAAAAACTGTAAATATCTTTATTTTTTTTGTTTTGTTTTTTCATGAAATGATTATGAACAGGATGGCATGAAATCTTGAGGAATCATTTATTGAATTACAATACACTACCCGAGCTCTCAAAATTTCAGAGTAGGCTGACGAATATAAACGCAAGAAAATGATAAATGAAAATTAAATACTAAACATGTGCTCTTGTGGCAACTAAGCATTCCTTTACTGAAAGTTGTAGCCTAATTATTTATTTACTGAACGTAATTAAGTAAAAAACTGACAGGATAAAGCTTGTGCAATTCCAAACATACTGCTATCTCGAAATACATGAGTTCACGGACTTAATCAAAAGATATTGGAAGAAACACAGGCAAACATTTACGTTTCCTATGTTGAAAGCGTAGGTAAGCATCCACTGCTGGTATTTTGAGGTTAAGCGCGAATTTTACATAATAATACTTATACGAACTTTTATATCGTATATTATTATCTAAAATTTTGAATCAGTACTTAATTTGTCTCAATAAACAATATTAACAAATAATCGTTTAAAATTAAAGCAGCATCAATAAATATCAACTTGATAGTCACACCTTTGACTCGGGAGTCATGAAAGAACCACCTTAAGACTTTTGTTTTTAATAAGAGTATGGTTTTTGACTCACGTATATCCATTCAAATATTCTAATCTATTGCTCACGACGCATTAGTACATTACTCACCTAGGGAGGAAAAATAAAGAATGTCTTAGTTCGCAGGCAGTTAACGCCCGAGGCGAAGCCGAAGTTGATAAGCATGCGATTTGGAGGATTCTTTGTTTCCTCCCATGGGTTGCATACGACTTTTCACCAATCCTGTGCCAAGAGAAGGAACCGCTTCTTCCAGCGCAGTATGATGCAAAATATTTATTTTTGTATATTTTGTGTACTGATTTTACTAACAAAGTAGTATAGTTGATACATTATTGAGGTCCTGTGTCACCCATTTTGCTTACCATGGGAGTTTGCAGCGTTTTGGTACTTTATGCACTTAGCGTATTATAAAGACTAGCTAAATAAAACAAAAAAAACTAGCGAATACTAAAATCAGCTCAATTTAGTGAGCTTAGCCTTTTGATTCCAAGTTATTTTTTATGATATACGTATATATATATATACATATAAAAAAATATTGGTATCCAAAATATGTAAACATAAAAGTTATGTTTAAGGTTTACTGCACCACGAATATTTCCACCATAAGTACGTATTTGAAACAGATGAGTTGCAACACCATTAATTAGTGATTTCTATACTTAAGTTTCTTGAGTAACTGTGGTTGAGATTCAGTTAGCTTTGTTGATGTTGAACACACATGTTGTTAGAGTTACGCGGGTTAACACAAGCTCAAAAACAGGTGCTCGGATGTGATAAACCTACGTAAGCGCTCGGTGTTAGGACGAATAAAGCTTTAATAATGAAATTTTGAGAACAAAAAGAGGATTTTCTTTATTGTGTTGATTAAATATCTGTACTGCCACTACAAAATTGGAGGTAACAAATAAACTTTCGTCGGTCTTTGCGTTGTGCTATTATTATTTACAAAAAATAATAGTTTCTTTTTAAAATGTAAGTTGATAGCTGTTATTATAATGTTATAGGATGACAAAAAATGTACGAAATTTCAATGGGAGGTTATGGTATTGATTTCATCATGTTACACATGGGCTAATGTGAATTTCTATGGCATCACTAGAGTTTTTGATCAGAATCCCTCGAGTAGAAACATTTTTTTTAAAATAAGATTGAAAATTCTGTTCACTACGAACACTACTATGTGGAAGCAGTTGACAGGTAAAATCAATTATTTTTTTATAATAAATGATTAGGTTGGTTAAAAATTTAAGGACAGATTCATAATGACGTTAATTACGATGTAAGTCAAGGTTGGACCATGATTTCCATTTTGTACATAAACTACCTCTAGCGTACAGTGCAATTCGAAACGGATAAACCGGTTGAAAATTTAGTTTTGTACTATGATTTCGATGATGAAATAACTTTACGTTTTTCTTGAACAATGTCATGAACCTGAAATTGGGGACCAGAGTTAGCGGCCAGCCAGGGGCGAATGGATGGTGTCAAGGGGCCCCGTACCGTAACAAAATGAGGAAAATAAGAACCAGCCACCACTCAGAGCGACTATTAACAATATTTAATAAATATTTTAACTTTACTCAGTGCCAGAATATGGCAAATAAGAAGGTTATAAACAAATTAACCAAACATGAAAATATCACTTTACTATGTGAAATCGTTAATAACTTGGCCCAGTATAATCCCAGACCCTTGAAATTGAACACACGCACTCTTCTAGTGACATACAATTAGCGAATATTATAGCCAACACGGGTGAAAAAATATTTAAAAAGTTGTAAACAAATTAAACAGGCAAAATATCGATTTTTGGTAAAAAAAATCAGCTACAACTTGGCCCAGCATGATCCCAGACCCTTGAAATATGGTCAAAAGCGTACGACTGTATAGTTACTACAATATACACATCTTCAGAAGTGTTCAAGAGTTTATTAAGGTAATTTCCAGTATTATGATCATTTTTCTGGAGCTTTTTTCTTTAGTTTTTTGTTATTTACTGTTATGAGCTCAAGTAGTAAAAGTTTTGATTTTGACTTGTGCACTAACTCTGCCATGATATCATTTTTCTTATTTTCAAACGTGATTGGAGAGCTTCGCCTCCTGAGCGCTTCGCGCGCCCACCCCAAATTTTTAATGCAATTCTCTTGCTAGACTTGAATAAAATGGAATGATCGATCAAGTACAGTAAATTAACAAAAAAAAATCTTTTTTCCTGGAAACATTTGGATATTCGTATGGATGGAACATTTATGATACAAACATACCTTGTTTTCAGTGATTTATATCACATAATATTACAGATAAAACTTAAGATGCAATTATAATGAACTACGTCATGTTTAATGGTTACATTAGAAAATATATTTAAGTCCGGAGATGTAGAAACAAGGTTCTTAATCTTATAACAGAATAACAAACATACGTATAAAACATGGCGTTTAACGCTGATTTAAGGATAGAAGTAGTACAGTCGTTCGCTGATCCAATAAAAGAGCTCAATGCTGAGATCTATCCAGAAGGCATTGTCAAACTTTTTGTCACCTTGATAAAGTTGTTTCTGTTTTAAAACTCAACAGTGCTATTGTCCAGATAAAAAGCTGGGAAGATTACATTGAAAAAAATATAGGATTAGATCTACAGTTGCTAAAAAATCGTTGTGGAATCAGTAAGGTATGTTCCAGCAAGGGATCTACTTATACTGCTGTTTCTATAGCGCAGCAAAAGTGTATCTCGTTTATAGGAGTTAATATTCAGTATGATCCAACAACTATTAGATACATAAAAAAAAGAATCAAATAATTCTTTACAACGGTACTCAAGATGTCATGGTGAGTTAAAAGAAGACCTGTTTAATAGTAAATACTTGTGTGAGAGATTAAAGCATCTCACAGGAGATGGACCAAGTATTCATTACACCATTCAGAACAACAGTCGCAAGTGGGAATTTCAACCATTTATGACAATCCACTGTCTAGCATGAATAATGCAGTCTTATTAACACAGTACTACTTCCAAATCACTGCTATTATCTTGGAAAAAAGTATGTACTAAAGGGATAAGCTAAGAGCTGACATTAATCCTACATCCTATTTCATCATAATAAAAGGAGGTTGCACAGGTCAAGGTTTTTATACATACGGGCGATGAATTTTATTTGATTAAAAATCTAAAGACCGTAGCCAATCAGTTGTGTACTGCATATTGTTTTGGTACAAAATTTAGTAATGGATTTGATGATTTACTTGCCACAGAAGTTACAAAGATTATAAAAGCATTTATTATTTATTGGCCTACTCAGCTATGTGATCAGACGTCGCAGTTAAATTCGTGGTTAATAAATATTTCAAACAAAACTGCAATTTCCGATGGAAAAATTTATTTTGGTAGAGCAAGAAGAGAGCACGTACTTATCGACTTATCGACTGTAATAGCTCCAAGCAGGTTGAGAAGAATTTTCAAGAGCCAAACTTGGACTCAAAGAATAAAGTTATTATAAAATTCATTGATTCTATAGTAGATGATCCATTTCTTAAGTTGATTCAAGAATTGCTAGAGGATAGGAAAGTCTTGTTCCCGCCAAATAGTTGCTTAATGCAGTGTAGCATAAGGTTATGATGGTAGTGAAATTTTTCATGA